CTGCTTCCCCTCCTTATTTACATTTTTTTCTTCCTTTTCTCTTTTTTTCCTTTTCCTTTCCTTCTTTTTCCCCTTCCTCCCTCCCTGATTCTCTTCCCATTTAAATATTTTCTTCCCATATCCCAATATCTATTATACATTTTGGTCCTTATTTACACTTTTTTTTCCTCACACCAGAGAAACCATGTGATATTCAAAGTGTATCCAGTTTATTTCACTTAAGAATATGGTCTCAAGGTCCATCCGTTTAACTTTAAATGTCTGAAGCTCATCCTTCTGCATGGCAGAGTAGTACTCCATTGTATAAAAGACCCCGCATCTTCTTTATCCAGTCTCCAGTTGATGGGCTTTTGGACTGTTTCCAAGTTTTAGCTGTTACAAACTGTGCTGCTGTAAACATAGGTGTGCATATATCACTGTGGTAGGATGCTTTTAATTTTCAGGAAGATAACAAGAAGGGGAATAGCTGGGTCAAGTGCAACCTCTGTTTTAGTTTTTGGAGGGATCTCCACACTGATTTCCACAGTGGCTGCACCAGTCTGCGCTCCCATCAGCAATGGGATCCCCACACCCCCGCCAGCATTTGTTATTGATTGATTCCTTGATAGCAGCCATTCTTTCTGGAGAGAGGTGGAATCTCAGTGTTGTTTTCATTTAGGCCTGGTATTTTGAGAGGACAGTTGCTACTGTTTGTGCCAGGTCTAACTTCTAGGGTTTGTGTGTGCAGACTGATTTGGCAGTCATGAGAATTTGTCATCTAAACAACAGATTAACTTAGCTAGAGGAGTTTCTAAATCAGTAAAGCAATCATTTTGGCTTTTTATAGCTGACTTGGCTCTCCGATTAGCTGACTACAGGGGATATGTCTGTAAAGAAGTGGAAAATGGCACAGCCTCGGAGACTTGGGCTAAAAAACAATGCCCGTGTAAACTGAATGAAAATACTCAATACAGTGCACAGAAAAGATAACCGATACAGATGCATGCCGCTGCCTTGGTATTTGGTGTTTGAAACACCATTTCGAAGACATCCACGCTGAGTGTACTGTAACCAAGAGAGACTGCACAGTCAGAAGAATCAACTTTTCTCTTTCTAACAAAACTAATTTCAGTGAGTCAACCAAAGATGTAGTTCTGAGACTGGGAGGGAGGAAACCAGGGGAATTATACAGAAAATTAGAACACGGTCCCCGCATCGAAATTGTTGAACGAACGACTATGAAACATGGGCTTTGCTCTTGGCAGACACACGCTGCCCATTCAGAGATGGAATCCACGTGCTGTGGTGATGGCTTCTTCATTGTCCAACCTCCGGCTCTCCGACCCACCGGCCGTCGGTGCTCACCCCACCACCCCTCACTTCCACCAGCCTCACACTGCTCGTGTTTTGCTCCACAAGGAAGTGCCAGTGCACCTGCAGAGCCCCAGAAGCCCCTCCTAGACACACGAGGCAAGTGCCGGAAGTGGACTTAATATTCAAGAGAATCAGTTACTTAAAACTTGGCCTAAATGCGTTATTGAAATTGGAATCTGGGCAATCTGTAGTTGTAACACAGGAAACTTTCCAAACTAAAGAATCCCACTAGGGATCCCCCAGCCACACTCAGAGCTAAGTTCTTGTCCCCAGAAACCCGGTCCTTCTATAAAGCAGTGACAACCAAGCTCAGCAGGAAGCAGGCGGCTGTGAACATTTGGCCGATAGGCACTTAATGGACAAGTCATTGAATAAATGCTTACACCAACGAATTTAAGAAAAGAACACCAGGCAGAGCCTGAGGACCAGGTCTATACAAATCATACCACCTTTTGGAGATTTTATTTCTTCACATGGAAAGTAAGATTGGTAACGCTTGCCTGTCCCACAGCACTGCTATGAAAATCAGATGACAGCTGGGAAAGCAATTTAGAGCTGCGATGAAAATACAGACTAATAGGGAAAACTATAATTTTGACTATTTACAAAGGGCTAGTTGCAGCTTCGTTCAGTGGGGGCAGCAAGAAGTCCCGGTGAGGTCAGCGCGCGTAAGGAGCAACCCTTGCCAGACAGAAAGAAAGCAGCTCCACCACTTGGCTTCCTGCGACCCCCACGACCAGCTGGAGGTGGAGGTGGCCATGGCTTCTTTGCTGTTTAGTTACTGTGCCAACTCAGAGAGGGCTGCTTTCTGCATCCAGGGAAGGAAGGGACTCTGGAAGAAGTAGGTTTTGACCAAATGGTGGAATGATCCTTGGTGTTTTTATCCAAACAAACAAAAAACCCAAAGCAATTGTGAAAGCAAACCAAAGAAAATAGCTAGTCTATTATCTTTATTTTAGGTCAAGCCGTTTGGAACAAAGTCCCTGCACTTTGGCTTGGGTTTAATAGCATCACCCGCTGAGTTTACCAGAACGGGAAATGCTAAGGTTTGCATTCTAAATATCCGCAATTGCTTTTCCTTTACATGACCTGTGTTTCCTGCCCCCGCCCGTAGGTGGATGGTAAAAGGGACAGAAATGAGCCTGGTTAATAAAAGAGGTTGACGCCATTTTGACTTTTCCAAATGCTCTGGCTCTTAAGGAAACTTTTTCAGTATCTGTCACCTTAACTCACTAGGTTTTTCTGGAACAAGAACACAGTAGTGTCACCAAGCTGTCTGGAGGGGCCTCACATTTCGTATCTCCTCATCTGACATGAGAAGAAATTGAACCTGAAGGCTGCCTCATTATTCCCATACTGAGTAGGATTTCCACAAAAGATCTTTTCCTTTCTACATGCCCCCACGAATTCAGCACTGAACATATTAGAGTGTAGCTATATTTCACTTGGAGATCACCTTACTAAGCCACATGCAATTAGAGCCATACCTGACAGACCTGGGCATGTTACAGGGCTAATAATTACTTACAGGATGAATGCCTTGAATAAATAAAAAAAATTGTGAAATCCTAAAATGAATATTCTGATGTCTTTTTTTCCCAGATCAAATTCACAGTGGAGTAAATCTAATCTTTTTTCATTGTTAAAAAGAGATTATCTTTCTCATCATAATTTTTCTTCCTGTAACTTACATTTTTGGTTTGGAAACATCTGAAATGAGAGGTTCTTTGTCATTTTTGCTTCTGTTCCTGTCTTTCTCTTCATTGATGCTCGCTGGCTGTTTTTAAATTAACCTCAAAAACCTCAAAAAAGCTTTTGTTGTGTTTATGTCTTGGACTGATTTCTTCTTTTCTAACTTTTTCTAACTTGCTACTGCTGATAAAAACAAAATCTATTGATTTTCACTATTGATATATTATTTAATTGCAACACTGAAATCTTTTTAAGTTTGAAGAGCTCATCTATAAAATTTTTTATATCTATATTTATCTATGTAAAATATATCACACCAAGAGTTGTGTTTATTTTTCTCTTTTCCATGGTGACATTGCTAAAGCTGTCACATAGTGTTGAGTGGTTAAATATTTTGTCTTACTTTAACTGAGATGTCGCAGTAGCCTAGGTATCGTTTGCTGTGTTTTAAATAAAGTCCCTTAATCTGGTTTAGGTATTTATTTTATGTTCTTACGTTGCTGGCTTGGTTTTCTTTGTTTTTTTTTTCCTTGATTTTTTAATTTCTTTTTGATTTTATTGGTATACTTTAGATAAGCATAATGATCACATTCATCATAGGGAATTTGCACCTGTACGTGATGCATCTCGTTTCTTCTTTTTCCCCCTTCCCCTCCCCTCAACCCCTCTTCCCCTTCTTGCTTACAAAGCTTTGCTTCCATTTTCCTTCCTTTCCCTTCTTCTGACCCTCTGTTCTTTCTCCTCCTGCCTCCCTGGCCCTCTTCCCATTTCACAATGTCTGTTACGCATTTAGTTTTCCAATGGCTGAATGAATGCTGAATTTTAAGATGAAGATTTTCCTAATTTAATCAATGTTTTTCTTAGATCTTTCTCAATCTCTTTATTCAGAAAATATTAATAAATACAAAGCTGAAATAATTTGAAAATAATTCCTATAGGATTTTATGTCTGTACCATAAGCTACTGGGTCTATAATTCTAATTGCTTCATCAATTTGGTATTAAAGTTAAACTTCTTTTAGTAAATAAGCTAGGGGACTTTCCCTCTTTTTCGTATTCTCTGAAACAATATGCATAAGACCTTAATTACTAAAAATAATAAAATTTATCAAGTGTTTATTTTGTGCTACCACTGTTCTAATGTTAACTTTAATCCTCACAAAAACACCAGGAGGGAAATTCTGTTGTCCTCATTTTATATGTGAAAATTCAGATGGGTTAAGTAACTGAACTCAGATTAAAAATCACTTGTGGAGAGATAACAGGAAAACCTCCAAACCATTAGAAACCAATCAGCACACTTCCAAGAGATGCATGGATCAGAAGGAGGTGTTACGGGAAACCGAGAAACTCGGGAAACCAAGAAACTCACCGAGCGGGGAGCACTGTGTGGAATCTGCTCGGGCCAGAGCTAGGCCTGGAGCAAGAAATCACAGCACAAGTGCTGCACTATAAAGGAGGGATAGTCTCTAATTAACTACCGAAATCCTCCCTTGAGAAGCTGGGAGAAAATAAAAATAAACACAAATCAAACACCAGGGAGCAACTAATGAAGATGAGAGCAGAAATCAATACAAAGGAAAAAAATAACAGTCAAGGAGCAAAAATGACCTCTCTCAGAAAAAATCCATGCAATTGACAAAGACCTGGCCGTACTGAGGGCGAAGAGAGAAGACAAACAATGCGCATCCTAAACGGAGTGGGGACGTCACCGTTTATCCTGTAAATATCAAAAGCATAGGGAAGGAATGCAGAAAACACCCCACACAAATTCAACAGCTTGGATTAAAAAGGCCAACTGCACGCCCCTAAAAATCACATTTGACTTTGTAATTTACAAATCCCCAGAAAAGAAATATCCAGTCCAAGACAGTTTCTCTGGGGATTCTACCAAACACGGAAAGATAAATTAAGATCAATTCTACAAAATCTCTTTCCAAAAGAAAAAGAAAAGGGAATAGTTTACAATTTATTTTAGAAAGCCAATATTACCTTTATACCAAACAAAAGAGTCAAACAAGAAAACCCAAAACACTACAAATCAGCAAACTGTAAATACAGATACAAAATTCTTGAGAAAATACTAGCAAATAGAATTTGACAGTACATACAAAGTATTGTTAACAGGACAAGGAAAAATTTATACTCATGTCAAGTGACAGAGAAACCATATTTAGCAAAATTTAACAGCATTATACTTGAAGGTGAAAACCTGAATGTTCCCCCTACACCTATGGAATCACGGAGAATGGAGGGATTCCTCTTCTCACCGACCTTAGGCAGCACAGTAGGGGAAGAAGGAGCCAAAAGAGCAGAGAAGGGAAAGAAAAATAAAACAAGGGCTGGGGATTTAGCTCAGTGGTTCCACTGCCTGCTCCACAAGCTCAAGGACCCGAGTTCGATCCCTGGTACCAAAAATTAAAGAGAAAAGTAAAACAAAATAGTCTCTATTTAAAAATGACATTGTTTATGCAGAAAATCCAATGGATCTATTAAATATTCCTCTAATAAATATATTTGGCAAGGTCACAAGATAAACATACAAAACTGAACGGCATTTATATAAACTACAAAATTTAAAATGCATTAATAACATTTTCAATGAAATACTTAGGTGCAAATCAACAAAACATGTACAAGATGTTTATGCTGAAAACTACGAAACACTGATGAAAGAAACTGAAGATCTAAATAAAAGAGGAATGACTGTGCATGCGGTAGAAGACTAAATAATAAAGATGTCAATTATTCTTCCACTGGTATGAAGACTTAATATAATCCTTAGGAAAATCACAGCAGGACTTTTTTTTGCAGCTGTCAACAAAATTATTCTAAAATTTATATGAAAAGGCAAAAGAACTAGAATTCTTACTGTATACGTTTCCAGAGAATCATATTGAGAGAAAAAATGCCAGTTCCAAGGGTCAATAAACTGAATGATGCCGTGTATATCCCAGGTGCATTATTCCTTGCAGTGACGTAGTTGTTATGGAGAACGTGTTGGGCGTGGTTAGGAGTTAGAGCCCCTGAGAGGAGAGGGAAGGAAGGAGCTGTAGAGAGCGACATGGAGACACTTGCGGTGATGGCAGAGACTTTGTGTTGCCTCCGTCACGTTGATGTCGAGACCCTAGTTGTGACACAGTGCTGGCTTTGCAAGGCATTAAGTGGGTGAAACTGCATAAATGGCACAGCATTATCTCTCACAACTTCAAGTGAGTCTACAGTTATCTAAAATTAAAAGTTTAGTTTTAATTAAATATAGAAGACAAGTACCGATTATTCTGTCCAAGAACCCTGCTTACCTTCCAGATACAAATAATTCTTCGATATGTTTTTTACATTTTTCTGGATCATAGAGTTAAAAGGATAGTTTCCCAATTCATCTTTTTTTTTTTTTTTTGGTACCGGGGATCGAACTCGGGTCCTTGGTGCTTGCGAGGCAGGTGGCAGAACCACCCAATTCATCTTTTGAAGCTCGATTAAACTCAGTGCCAACACCTAAAGGAAATAAAAAGAAAAAATGAAAACCAGAGAATATTATCTTTCATGAATAATAGCAAGATCTAAAATATAATACTAGGAAGTAATTATTTTAATTATTTCCAAGAATGTTCAGATGACTTAACATTAAAAAATTAATTTCTGCAATTTATACCATTAATAGATCAAAGAATTATCATCATCTTGATTAACCAGAAAAAGCAATATAAAAGCTCATAGTAAAATATGAATATTCTTTATGTATATATTAAACAATATTTCTCTGAAATAAACTACTAACATCATAGTGTATCATAAAACATTAAAACATTAGCATTAAGTATTAAAAGCTGTGTTAATGTTAAAGACAAAGCAAGATGATCATTACTATTATTTTAATATATTCCCTTGTAATGTCAATAAAAAAAATCAAATGATCTGAAATTCATTTGAAGAAAACCCAAAATATCTACTGTGAAATAAAAAAGACACATATAAAGGGAAAGATTTTTTTGTTTTCTGATGACAATTTTTAATATAGTAAGTATGCATTTTACCGTTACAGTTATCTAATTTGACCAAATATTTTCAAAGTGGAACTGAAGTATTTGTTGTGACTCTCTTATACACCAAGAGTTGTGCTATGCTAGGCAAAGGGATTATGGAAGAAAAGTAATGTTTGTATTTGGATCTCATTTTTGTAAAACATAATTTCATATACAAATAGAAAGCAATATCCCTAATTGTACAAATTAGTTGTCTCAAGGATATAGAAATTTTATTGATTTTTTTTCAGTTTTGCTTATCTTTATTTTAACATAAAAAATTACGTGTGCGATTTTTGTTAATAAGAAAGTATAGCTTTAAGAAGTGAAAAGATACTATTTGGCATGTGAATGAGTTAAAGGAATTCTAGAGATAAGAAATATATAAGAAACACATTGAATTTATATATTTGCATTGCCCATGAGGTTTAAAACAAAATTTTTCTATCATTACTATAAAGATCTTGAAAATAAGAATTCAGACATGCATGCTCAATAAACATAAGAGAAGATATAGCTCCCATTTCTAATACATCTACTATTGATTCATTTCCACAAAATGTTTTAATAATTTTTTTCTGATTTGCCCATCAATATATTAAGAAATTAACTAAATTAGCTAATTTAACAATATATTAAGAAATTTGTCTGTGTGTAAAAGAAATGTACATATATTATGAATCAAATATAGATGTTCTTTCACAGATTTGTGATAAATGCAAATTAAATTGCTGAAAACACTACCAATTTGCTTTAAAGTATAACTGATAATTAATTCTCTATCACAGTAATGTGTTTTTCTTTTTTCTTTTTTTTTTTTTTTTGGTACTGGGGATTGAACTCTGGTCCTTGCACTTGCAAGGCAGGCGGTGGAACCACTGAGCTAAATCCCTGGCCCAGTAATGTGTTTTTCCACTTTAGCTTTCTTTCTGATGCTTAGTTTCTGTAAAGATTTTAATTCTCTTATTCATAACTGTAATTTAGGTCTTATATTAATATTGCTCCTTTTTTGCCAGACAAGAAAATAAAAGCTCAGAATGTTCGTTCGACTTTTCCAAGACCACGTAACCACCAAACATTAGAGATGAGATTTGAACCTAAGCATTCTGATTCCAGAACCTACTTGCTTAACTACTTCCTAATTTCTTTAAGAATCACCATCCAGGGCCGGGGATTTAGCTCAGTGGTTTCACCATCTGCTACGCAAGTGCAAGAACCCGAGTTCGATCCCTGGTACCAAAAAAAAAAAAGAATCACCATCCAGCCCCATGATAGGTATGCACTCTGCTGACTGCCAATGGGTTACGTTTGCCACCTTGCACACAGAAAGGAAGCTGCTCCCTCATGGTCTACAGTCACATTTGGGATGACCACAGACTTACAATAAGTATTTCAAGCAATTCAAGTTAGGAGAAAAGGGAAAGAAGAAAGACAATGAGTGAGCAGGCCAATTGGATTGATCGTGGAAAGGTTATTCATTCTCGGGGAAGGAGTGTAGTTCTATGAGAAGCACTGTTCAGAAATGAGAACTTTTCCTACTACTGGGTCATTTTCTCTACTTAAGTCTCATATTTTTTATGTAAAATCACCTGTGTTTATAAAGTGAAATTTACTTTGTTTGCTAAAACCATTTTTTGAAGATGAAAAATTATTGGCTCTCCAATAGTAAAAGTGGACATAATTACGGACCCTAACCTTTCAAGAACAATCCTAGTTTTCTCTTACTTCTTTTGATTCAACTGTGATGGTCTCATACTTTGTTGTTCTTGTTATTTTTCTTTAGCACAATGAAGTCCTTCCCTCTATCTCTGTGTGTATACTTTCGTGAGTTCTGTGTGTTTCTCATTTGTAAGTTAATTTTTTAATCATATTTTTAAATCATGGGCCAAGTACCAAACCCAGCCTCCATGGAACCTAGTCGAATGCAATCTGGGATATTTTTGCTAATTGCTTAGCTGCTGGTTTTATTCTTTAAACAGTTTAGGTGAGTAAGATACATACTAATTTTATCCTGAAATAAAAATGAAAGTGCACATTTAAACGTTCATGAAAGGATTATAACTTTGTTACTTTAAAAGACAAATCATATTTGAAAGGGCATTTGGGGGCAATAGAAATTGAAAGCATTTCACAAAGAGAAAATGATTCAATATGTTTTCTTTAGGATTTCCCTTTTTATAATTTGTATCTCATTTAATTCTCTGTCATCAGGAAATAGTTGGGGGTTTCACTCAACCTACAAGTGGCTATGACAAGCTGCCTGTGCAGGCCTCAGTACTAAATCTTGAGCAAAAGACCTGCTGGGCCCTGGAAGCAGTCCAAACTCAGCCTTCCACAATAGATTGTGACTTTCAAATTCCTGCCCTGCTTTCAAACAGGATGTATGCAGCACACAATTTCTTTGACCAAGGTTTTCCAGTCCCAGTTTTAGATGATTACTGACACTTTCTTCTTTTTCAGAAGTCAGAAACTCCTTCTGTCTCTGCGAGCATGTGTGCATGGGATCCTGCCTCCTTAATGATCAGTTTTTTACGACCTCTTTTAACTTACGGAGATTTTATGTTTTTATTATTGCTAGGAAGCAAGAAGTCATGAAGAAAAAAAATTCATGGGCTGGGGATTTAGCTCAGTGGTTCCACCACCTGCCTCAAAAGCTGAGGACCTGGGTTCGATCTCTGGTACCAAAAAAAAAAAAAAAAAAAAAATTCATGTTCAATTTATTGATCATTCAGATTCCTGTAAATATAATACAAATAAACGATTTCCCCCTTAGAAATCAAGACTTTATCTTACTGGTGTTTACCAGTTCATCCCTAAAAGTCCTGTCATGCATCCTAACAACCCCGAGTTTTGTTTTATTTTGTTTGTTGCTGCTGCTTGGTTTGCTTTGTTGCAGTAGGCAAGTGATCATAAGATATGAACCCCACTCACAAAAAAACAGAAAATATTTTTAAAAGATGTGTTCCTGACCGTCAGGATGACAGCATCTGATAATACTCTGCTTTCCTTGTGGATACTGAGTTGTTTTTCCTACAAATTCCATCAGAGGAAACTACTATTTTTGGTGCATTTATGACAGAGGCACGGCAGTGACACCGAGTCTTCCAACCTGCTTCCCACTGCTAGGAGCAGAAGACGGCTCCTTAGCTCCTTGAGGAAGGCGTGGAAAGGTTTGGTGTTCAGCGAGAAGCAACTTATCGGGCTCTAATTAGAGAGGGCGACTAGGGAAGAAGGTGCAGCCAGAGCTGGCTCCAGCAGGGGTGCAGTCTGCCTGGGGAGGCTGCCCTGACCAGCACATGCGCCTTTGGCACCGGGAGCTTCAGGGCCATCGCCTCGGTGTGGACCTCTCCTTGCCAGCCCTTTGTGTTCAAACAATGGGGGCTGCGGAGCCTGGGAACCTCTCTGAGCCGGGTTCCCGGCCTGTCCGGATGCCATTGGGATCTTTTTGGTGAGAAAACAAGGTGGATACAACAGTGTCACTGAGCAGACAAATAACTTTCAGAAGTACCGAATTAGGTTGAGGAAGTTAATGCTACACTAGGAAGCTGGTCTGCTGGGGCAGGAAATGATGTGTATGTGAACAGGCAAAGAAAAAACAATTTCCGCAGTCTGGGAATATTACGAACACAATGTTCGGGTTTGCCAAGTATCTGTCAGAGTTAAAACGGTTTCCCACTAAGTTTCCATCCTTTTGTTCCAACAGAGCTCACTGATCTTTTCATTCTAAGGGACGACGACTATAACGCCTTGTTGTAAATCTCCCGGTCCTTTCTGTGTCATAACAGAAGGTAGTTAAACATAATTGTTTTTCTCTGTTTCCCTAAGACAACACCAGAGTAAATTGTGTTCCAGTATTATCAAATCATACAAAAAAGGGGGATTTGAAGAGGTCCTTCTATGATTTCTCAACAGTAGATGCAAATAATTCTTCAATTTTTTATTTTACAAAAAGAAGACCCAGCAGGTATCCTGGGCTACTATAACACAAGGAGTTAAAATTCTCGCTTAGACACAAGAAAAACTAAACCATTTCATGCCAGATTAAATTATGGTTTCTGCATAAAATGTGCTTAAGTAAATATTTTTAGAATTTCTTCATACAAGTAAGATTTTCAGGAGGTAATATTGAGCTTTAAGTGCATCTAGCAATACTTTAATTGACTAGTTTTTCTTTTTTAATATTACTCCTTTTCTCCAATTTTAGGTAAAATATAATCATACCCACTTTACATCAGTCTCTTTGCATTAATGTCTGCTGTGTACTCAAAATATATGTGTGCCATCTAAGCAGGTCCGCATGGGCACTCCACCGGGAGACAAAGGCAGTGGCCACGTCTGACACCTTCTGCCCTGCATTGTTTCTTGTGAGAGGTAAGTCAGTAGCTGGAGTTTCCCTGTAATAAATAAGTATTTTTCTTTTGCTGCTTTCAAGATTTTTGAGGTCTTTTGCTTTGACCATTATGTGTATGATTTGCATGGGTAAGCATATACTTATATGTATTCTACTTGAAGGGTTTTTTTTTTTATCTTTTTGGTTTTTTGAGGCAAGGTCTCACAATGTAGTTAAGGCTGGCCTTAAATGTTTGAAGTTTCTGAATGTGCAGATTAATGTTCTTATCAAAGTTGAGTTCTCAGCCATGGTCTCTATGATGGTTTTATGTCCCTTCCTCTCCTCTGTCTTTTATGTTGATACGCTTAATGGGATGCAACACTTTTATGATCGTCTGCTCAGTTTCCTTTATTGATCTTTCTTTATTCTTCAAGTTCCATAATCTCTAATGTAAGAATTAAAGGTAAACTAATTCTCTAAATTACAGGGTAATTTCTTCTACTTCTTTCTTTTGCCAGCAAAAATCTATTATTGAGTCTGTCTTGTGATTTTTATTTCATCATTTTTCTTTTCAACTTTGGAATTTCATTTCATATTTTTAAAATATAATTTCTATCTCTTGATAGTCTCCATTTGATGAGATATCATCATCACATTTTCCTCTGATACAGGATTCCCTGTTGTTCTTTCCATATATTCATAATGGCTACTTCCAGGTCTTTGCCTACTACCACATTTTGCTGTCCAAAGCGATTTCAATTGCCTGGGATTTTCCTTGCGTGTAGACCACCTTACCTAGCTCTCTGTATGTCTCCTAACTTTTGACTGAGAAGTAAAAATCTGAAAGAATATATTGTAGCAACTTCCGGGATACTTTCTTGCTGCAGGTGTTTGCTAGGTGCTTCCTTTCTTTGTTTCCTGAGCTGCCTGAATGGCCTCAAAGTGTCCTTTCTCTTGGTATAATTGCAGGTGTCCCTAGCAAGCGTACCTTCTTCTCATCTTTCAGCCTAGCTACCCAGAGGTTACCTCCAGGCCAGCGCAAGCCACGTGTTGTTAAACGTAGAGCTTGAGTCCCTTTCTCTGTTTAGGGTTTAAAAACATTATTGGCACATTTTAGATATAATGATCACATTGATCATAGGGAATTTGTGCCTGTACATGATGTATCTTGATTCCTCTTTTTCTCCAATCCCCTCCCCTCCCTTCAACCCCTCTTCCTCTCCTTATTTACAAAAGCTTTGTTTCCATTTTTTCCTTCTTTTCTTCTTTTCTTTTCCCTTCATTCTCTCCCCCCTCCCCCCTCCCTAGTTCTCCTTTCCTTTTGAACAATTTCTTCCTATTTCACATTATCTACTCTGCATTTTGACCCTTATTTTCACTTTCAGTTTCTTGCACCAGAGACAATGTGATATTCATACATGTGTGTCTTTTTATTTCACTTAAATCTATAGTCTCAAGGCACATCCATTTAGCTATAAATGTCTCAAGTTTATCCTTCTTTATGGCTGAGTAGTACTCCATTGTATAGAAAAACATCTTTTTCATCCATTCACCAGTTGATGGGCAGGAGTAATATCTAGTATGTACAAAGAATTGAAAAGAATCAGACCCCCCTCAAATTTAAAGACCTAGTCCAAAAATGGGCATGTGAAATGTTTAGGTTTTTACACTGAACCACTGCACGTGTGCAGTTCAAAAGCTATTACCACAACTGAGTTTATTTTTTTCTGTATTCAACCAGGGACTCTAGCTTCAATTCTGGCCCATTAGTCATTTTCAGAAGGCAAAGTCTTGTGCACATACACACACACACACACACACACACACACACACACAC